GAGTTGTGCAGGCCTGCTCTATAGTATAATTACAAACGTGTTTCAATTTATGTCTTAATATTTTTTTTGTACAAATTTTAAAGTAAATGGCCATTGTATGTTTTTATGTTAAAGTTTATTGAAATGAAGTGGGCCGATTCGGTGAAGGATTATACTGTATGTATACATATATATGTTAATGTATGAAGGTGACACTATGCCTCGCCTGCACTGTGAACTGACAAAAGACCCCAGCGTGGGACTAAGATGCACTAATGTTTGCCGTGACGTTACTCCGTTAGGCTATTGACACGGGAAAAACATAATGATTGGACATAGATCTGCCTGGACATAATATTCTCCATTCATTAGATTCATTAGAAGATGAGGAAAATTGAAGTGAGGCAGACTTCCAATCAAAACATAACTAATTTAGTGTGGCTACGGTAATAGCAAGTGAACTAGTGAACTAGTATTAGCGCTGGACAGCGCATGTAAATGGAATTAATGATGACTGAACAATTCATAAAAATCCTTTACATACATTTTTTATGTTTGCATTATGTAATTTTACGTGATTTATGATTTATTAAGAATCGGTTATGTAAATGTGTAAACTTCTGGGGTAAAAACGTTTCACGTTTCCTTCATTCCCCCCTTTCAAAATTATTTACATTTTATCTATTTTTTTACTGCCAACCCTAATAAGTCACAAATACAAAGCACATAGGTAGCAACAGCTACACAAGTAATCTGCACACCAAGTCCCACTGAACAAATTAAATATCACTATCCTCCTCGTCAAAAATAGGAAAAACTTAGGGATCTGGGGGGGGGGGGAGGAGGGCAGGCTGAAAATTTTATAGAATGTGTTGTCATCAGCAACCAGTCTATTTGCCAAGTTTCAGCTCGATAGGATGACGGGAAATTAGTTATTTAGTCTTTCGAAGATTTAGCGAAATTATTATAACTAATTTAGAAAGGGGTTTCCCTGCGATGACGCTTAATTAGGCTAACGACACAAAAAACAAAAACAAAATTGTGTATGAAAAATAAGCAAAATGCTTTCATTAGTGCACTAGTAGAAAAAAACTAGTGTGCAGACTATGTATAGCACCGATTAACTAAGAAGTGTTGCAAAGGAAAAGGGGGTGGGCACAAGTTCCTTTAAATAAGGAAGATCGTGATAAGAAACCCTTTCAAACTAGTCAACAAACTACTATTTCTGAAATAAGATAATGAAACCAAGAACTTTTTAACCTATTTTTTTAAGTTAGCTATTCTCTGTGGCTATCAAACATAAAGGTTCACAAACACTACTGATTTGAAAGAAGAAAAAAATAAAGAAAAGCAATCTTTTTTGGGGGTGGCTCTTATCTAATCCACGGGCTGTAATTAGGAAGTAAGGGCGCTTTCAAATATTACCAAAGATGATGAAAGAAATTAGTATTTTCGAATCTAAGCTGGCCTTATTTATTAACACTCAACTGAATCAGTCAAATTCTACTCACTTCCCAGCCCTTTCTAAGGCTGCACAACAACTTCCAGGGCTTTTCAATCTTTTTATTAGCAAATTTGAAGTTAGATTTCAAGGATCAATTTAGAGATACTCGCAGTCTTACTCCTGTTCTACTTATTGATGAAAATCCCTTTACGTGTTGAGTCTCCATAGCATAGTAGCCGAAAAGACGTCATCACTAGGAGCAGATGAAGATGCAATGTGGCTTGAAATCATCGAGATAACATTCGTGGATCTTCATGATAAACATAAAAATGCGAGGCCAAATGAATTCTGGATGGCCTATGTTTCTTCAGATGAATTTCTACAACCATTTTGAAATGTTGTAAAAAAAAAAAAAAAAAAGATATTGACGACGTTTGGAGGCACCTACGTCTGTGAAGCTGGATTCTCAGTAATGACCATCATCAAGTCCAACACAAAACAAACGAAACACTTTGACTGACGAAGATTTAGGAGACCTAATAAGGGCAGCAGTAAGAGAGTACCACACACACATTATGAAAATTGCAAGTTCAAGTCAAAGCCAAGTATTGCTTAAAGATGTGCTACAGTTTTTTTTTTAATTCGTTGAGATGACACTGCTAATGGATATAGGATTTTTTATACATAAGGTAAGAAGTGTTCATAAATTGAATAATTTTTTTTTTTTTTAATTTTTTTTCATTAAATACTTTTTTTTTTAAAGTATTTCTTTTGAAATGTCATGTGCGACCCTCGCTTCACAAATATGTATATATATATATAT